CCGATAGATGGCTCTGCTAGCGCCTGATTTAAATGGCGGGAAAAACGTATTTTTCACTAGTGCTATGAAAATCGATGGTGTTATTTTTATCATAAACATTATAATTTTTATAATGTTTTTTAACATTAGTAACAGCAAAATAAGATTATGTAAAATATTTTGTAAATCAAAGAAACGGGTAAACGGGCGAGACGGGTGGTGCTCGTAACTGGCTCATTGGGGAGTTAGTACAAGTGTTGCCATCTATGCGGAAAAACAATCAAACAAGTACTCACTGTGGGCATAGCACGTACGTGCACGTCATACCCGGCACCAAGGGTATATATATATATATACATATATATATGTATACATGTTTATCTATTTACATACATATATATTCACATATGCAAATATATATTTATAGGTACATATATATATATATATATATACATATATATATATACATATATATATATATATATATATATATATATATATATATATATGTTCACACACACACACACACGCGGGCGCACACGTACACACACACACACACGCGGGCGCACACGTACACACACACACACAAGCGCACACGCGCACGCACATATGCATGCATACACACACACACGCGCACACGCGCACGCACATAGGAATGCATACACACACACACACACACACACACACACACACACGCGCGCGCGCGCACATATATAGACATATTTATATATACATATACATATATATATATATATATATATATATATATATATATATATATATATATATATATATGTATGCATATATGTATACATACGTATATACATACATAAATATGTGTGTACACACAAAAAAAAACACACGTATATGTGTTTTCCTTTACTTCCCCTCGTTGTTCTACTTGCAATTTGTTCGACAGGATTTCCACAAATGTATATATATATATATATATATATATATATATATATATATATATATATATATATGTGTATATATCTATGTATACATAGATATGTATATATAGATACATACATACATGTATATATATATATATATATATATATATATATATATATATATATATATATATATATACATATGTGTGTATGTATGTGTGTGTATGTGTGTATGTGTGTGTGTGTGTGTGTGTGTGTGTGTGTGTGTGTGTGTGTGTGTGTGTGTGTATGTGTGTGTATGTATGTGCGTGTGTGTGTGTGTGTTCAAGTAAACAAATTAACATAAAAACTGGTGAATATATTATAAATGTAATCCCGCTGGGACTTTAATTTCAGTCGTACACACCATTTAGAATTAATTGCATCAAATGGCAATTTACTGCAAGTTCCAGACGCGGGTATATTATGCACTGTTGATTTTGTCGCCCACAGATGGCTCCACAAGCGCACGGTCACCAGTTTTCTATTTTTTTCTCAATTACTGTTAAAATCGATACAGCTGTTATTACTATTGACATTAACATTATCATAATGTTTTCAAAATATTAATAGGAAAATAAGAAATAATATCTGTTAAGCTGTTATTACTATTGACATTAACGTTATCATAATGTTTTCAAAATATTAATAGGAAAATAAGAAATAATATCTGAAAATCTTGAAAGGGTAAACAGTCGAGATAGGGAAGACTAGCAACTAAATTAATAATTAATAATTAATTAATAATACGTCATCTCAGGATAAAAGGGGTAAAAAAATAATACTTATTTCAAACTCCTGATAACTTTTCCCGCTGTTTTATTTTCATTTCTATTTTTTTATTTAGCATTATTTATTTTCTTATTTTCATTTCCTCAAATGTAAGAATTAAGTAAATGTAAGAATTAATTTTGAAATTAAGTCACGCAGGAAAGAAAAGGGAATCATAATCATCGGAATACCATAGTGTACCCCGTGCAACTATATACGATAATAGAGGAGAATAAATGCAAAGATAAAAATGATAAATAAACACATGAATAAACGAATAAACTTGAAATGCAACTTTAAATCCGGGTTCTATTCCAGTGTTGCCAGACAAGGAGCAAGGCTTTCGTCGCAGCATCGGATACCCCGTCCCAGACACACACGCCACTTTTTCTCTCTTTCCTTTTTTTGTTTTCTCTGTCTTTCCCCCTATATTTATCAAGCACTCCCTCTCTCACTTCGTTTCTATCTTTCTCTTGTTTTTTTCTTCTTTCCATCCTCTGTTCATCTACTTTTCCCTCTCTTTCGCTCTTTCTTTCTGTCTTCCTCATACCCCTTCTGTTTATCTCTCTCTCTTTCCTCTTTCTCTTTCTTTCTGTCTTTATCATTCCCCCTCTATTTATCTCTCTCTCTCTTTCTTCCTTCGCTCTTTCTTTCTGTCTTTCTCATCCCCCTCTATTTATCTCTCTCTCCATTTCCTCTTTCGCCCTTTCTTTCTGTCTTCCTCATTTACCCTCTACCTACCTCTCTCTCTTTCTTTCTGTCTTCCTCATACCCCTTCTGTTTATCTCTCTCTCTTTCTTTCTGTCTTTATCATTCCCCCTCTATTTATCTCTCTCTCTCTTCCTTCGCTCTTTCTTTCTGTCTTTCTCATCCCCCTCTATTTATCTCTCTCTCCTTTTCCTCTTTCGCCCTTTCTTTCTGTCTTCCTCATACCCCTTCTGTTTATCTCTCTCTCTTTCTTTCTGTCTTCCTCATACCCCTTCTGTTTATCTCTCTCTCTTTCTTTCTGTCTTCCTCATACCCCTTCTGTTTATCTCTCTCTCTCTTTCTTTCTGTCTTCCTCATACCCCTTCTGTTTATCTCTCTCTCCATTTCCTCTTTCGCCCTTTCTTTCTGTCTTCCTCATACCCCTTCTGTTTATCTCTCTCTCTTTCTTTCTGTCTTTATCATTCCCCCTCTATTTATCTCTCTCTCCATTTCCTCTTTCGCCCTTTCTTTCTGTCTTTCTCATCCCCCTCTATTTATCTCTCTCTCCATTTCCTCTTTCGCCCTTTCTTTCTGTCTTTCTCATCCCCCTCTATTTATCTCTCTCTCCTTTTCCTCTTTCGCCCTTTCTTTCTGTCTTCCTCATACCCCTTCTGTTTATCTCTCTCTCTCTTTCTTTCTGTCTTCCTCATACCCCTTCTGTTTATCTCTCTCTCTTTCTTTCTGTCTTCCTCATACCCCTTCTGTTTATCTCTCTCTCTCTTTCTTTCTGTCTTTATCATTCCCCCTCTATTTATCTCTCTCTCCATTTCCTCTTTCGCCCTTTCTTTCTGTCTTTATCATTCCCCCTCTATTTATCTCTCTCTCCATTTCCTCTTTCGCCCTTTCTTTCTGTCTTTATCATTCCCCCTCTATTTATCTCTCTCTCCATTTCCTCTTTCGCCCTTTCTTTCTGTCTTTATCATTCCCCCTCTATTTATCTCTCTCTCTTTCTTTCTGTCTTTCTCATCCCCCTCTATTTATCTCTCTCTCTTTCTTTCTGTCTTTATCATTCCCCCTCTATTTATCTCTCTCTCTTTCTTTCTGTCTTTATCATTCCCCCTCTATTTATCTCTCTCTCCATTTCCTCTTTCGCCCTTTCTTTCTGTCTTCCTCATACCCCTTCTGTTTATCTCTCTCTCTCTTTCTTTCTGTCTTTATCATTCCCCCTCTATTTATCTCTCTCTCCATTTCCTCTTTCGCCCTTTCTTTCTGTCTTCCTCATACCCCTTCTGTTTATCTCTCTCTCTTTCTTTCTGTCTTTATCATTCCCCCTCTATTTATCTCTCTCTCCATTTCCTCTTTCGCCCTTTCTTTCTGTCTTTCTCATCCCCCTCTATTTATCTCTCTCTCCATTTCCTCTTTCGCCCTTTCTTTCTGTCTTCCTCATACCCCTTCTGTTTATCTCTCTCTCTTTCTTTCTGTCTTTATCATTCCCCCTCTATTTATCTCTCTCTCCATTTCCTCTTTCGCCCTTTCTTTCTGTCTTCCTCATACCCCTTCTGTTTATCTCTCTCTCTTTCTTTCTGTCTTTATCATTCCCCCTCTATTTATCTCTCTCTCCATTTCCTCTTTCGCCCTTTCTTTCTGTCTTTATCATTCCCCCTCTATTTATCTCTCTCTCCATTTCCTCTTTCGCCCTTTCTTTCTGTCTTCCTCATACCCCTTCTGTTTATCTCTCTCTCTTTCTTTCTGTCTTTATCATTCCCCCTCTATTTATCTCTCTCTCCATTTCCTCTTTCGCCCTTTCTTTCTGTCTTCCTCATACCCCTTCTGTTTATCTCTCTCTCTCTTTCTTTCTGTCTTTATCATTCCCCCTCTATTTATCTCTCTCTCCATTTCCTCTTTCGCCCTTTCTTTCTGTCTTCCTCATACCCCTTCTGTTTATCTCTCTCTCTTTCTTTCTGTCTTTATCATTCCCCCTCTATTTATCTCTCTCTCTTTCTTTCTGTCTTTATCATTCCCCCTCTATTTATCTCTCTCTCTTTCTTTCTGTCTTTATCATTCCCCCTCTATTTATCTCTCTCTCTTTCTTTCTGTCTTTATCATTCCCCCTCTATTTATCTCTCTCTCTTTCTTTCTGTCTTTATCATTCCCCCTCTATTTATCTCTCTCTCCATTTCCTCTTTCGCCCTTTCTTTCTGTCTTTATCATTCCCCCTCTATTTATCTCTCTCTCCATTTCCTCTTTCGCCCTTTCTTTCTGTCTTCCTCATACCCCTTCTGTTTATCTCTCTCTCTCTTTCTTTCTGTCTTCCTCATACCCCTTCTGTTTATCTCTCTCTCTTTCTTTCTGTCTTTATCATTCCCCCTCTATTTATCTCTCTCTCCATTTCCTCTTTCGCCCTTTCTTTCTGTCTTTATCATTCCCCCTCTATTTAAGAGAGAGAGAGAGAGAGAGAGAGAGAGAGAGAGAGAGAGAGAGAGAGAGAGAGAGAGAAGGAGAGAGAGAAAGAGAGAGAGGAGAGAGAGAGTCCATATGTACGAATACGAAGAAAGACAATCAGAATCGAGAAAAGAAAAAATTAATAACCTCCTTTCCGACAACCATCCCCCACGCGCATTACAGGGAGAAGGAGAACCATAAACTCACGAATAACGGTGAAGGAGGCGCAGACGGCGATAACGGGCGTGCGAGCGGGCGGGTCGTGGTGGCCGTCCGGCTGCGCCCCGCGACGGAGGATGGCCGTCGTCGTGGCCTTCAGGAACAGGGAGGCCATGGTAGGTCATTCTCAGAGGTCACGGGAGCTCATTCCTTGAAGTCATAGTATGTTAAGGTAGGTTATTCATATTCATGGGAGGTCATTCTCGGAGGTCATTCCCTAATGCCATGGTAGGTCATTCCCAGAGGTCATGGGAGGTCATTCTCAAAGGTCATGGGAGGTCATTCCCTAAGGCCATGGTAGGTCATTCCCAGACCTCCCAGAGGTTATGGGAGGTCATTCTCAGAGGTCATAGTAGGTCAAGGTAGGTTATTCATATTGATGGGAGGTCATTGGCAGAGGTCATGGTAGATCATTCCCAGAGGCCGTGGTAGGTCATTCCCAAAGGTCATGGTAGGTCATTCCCAGACCTCATGGGAGGTCCTCCCTAGAGATCATAGGAGGTCAAGCTAGGTTATTCATATTCATGGTAGGTCATTGCCAGAGGTCATGGTAGGAGAGCTATGCCATAGAGGCTGATAGACCATCCAGAGAGGACCTTTACAGAGGACATGCTAAATCAGGCAGAAAGGTTTATCAGTGAGGATATGGTAAATCTAAAGGTAAAGATTACCATAAAAATGTCACAATGACTATGTGCAATATATATATATATATATATATATATATATATATATATAATAATAATAATAATAATAATAATAATAATAATAATAATTAGAAATAAATAATGGTAATAAAAAAAATAAAAATCATCCCACAATAAAATCACAAATACAATAATAACAAATACCTTTGAAAATGCCCTTTGAAAATAATGCAAATAAATTACGCAGATAACTTACACCCCCCCCTCCTGAAACGACCTCAAATACCTCTCCTCCCATAAGATAGATACGCGAAAAGCTTTATGAAAAAGAAGAAATTGTAATAAAAATGAAATTAAAGAAAAAAACACTCTCGCCAACCACAAATTACCGTCTTTACACTGTGCCAATAAAATAAAATTCACAATAAAGAATAATAAAATTCACGAATACAGTAACAATCCCTCTTTAGAAAATAGTTCAAATCACTCATCCACTGAAAATGCCTCACCTAATTCACACACTGAAATTAACTCAAATAACTCGCCTCTCATTGAAAAAAACATATTAAAAAAACGACAAAAATTATAAATAGATAAACAAGAAAATAAAATCATAAAAAAATATATAAAAAAAAAAATATAAAAAAATATATATATATAAACAGAGATAAGACAAAACAAGAAAAAACCAAAACCGACTCGCCATCAAACCTTACGTATCTTTACCCTGAACCAGCTGGGTCCCTTCCTGTACCGCATGCACCCTTTCCTCCAACAACAGTTCCTCAATTACACGATCTACTTGGTGGAACAAACACGTGAGTTGCTTGTTTGTTTACTTCGTTGATTGGTTGTTTCATTCTTCTAGTCTTGTTATCACCGTGGTCGTTATTGTTGTTTGTGTTGGCACTGCCCTTTTTTTTCATTTCTATATCTATTTTTTTAATTATTTGTTTCTTGTTGGTGGGATGTAGATGTAGTTCTAATGTTGTAGCTTAATAAACTTTGTTACTGTTTTTCATCACAATGGCGGTGATCATTATTGAAAAAAATGTCTAATGTCGATGATCATGACGTAATTACCGTTATTATATTTTGTTGCTAGTACTTCTACTGTTGTTATTGTCATTATAGTAATATCTTTCATTATTTTCTACAATTATAATAATTATAATTTTTTGTATTATAATTCCTGTTATTATTAGGATTAACAACACTAGTTCCTAATTCCTAATACTATAATCATTAATAATCATAGTCATTACCTTTAATATCATTATCATTATTATTACCAAAATCATAACCATAATTATTATCTTTGACATTCCCATTTAAACTCTGGCCACGTAGGATATAAGCAGTTAGTGCCATATAACCAACAATCAAAGGTCACAGTTACAGCTAGGAGAAAATATGCTAACTTCCTACTTATATAATGGCATCAAAACCCACGTCATGTCACACGACGTGGTGTCCTTACCAAATCAAGTCTGTGAAAATTTAAAGATAAGCCGCACCATCGTCATAATTGTATTATCTTAAACATAGATGGTGTGAAGCAATGGTGTGGTTGGCTTAATGTCGAGTGTCTGCATGCCTTCTCGCTTACAGCTGCCACCACTGGCTAGATTTGTGTGAAAAGGGGGATCACTAATGTTCAAGTCTCCCCTTCCTCGAGCAGCAGGAAGCCCCTAGAAGGACGGACATACCTTGGATTCGTGGCTAACTCCTACCTCCCGGGCAAACCTCCCGGGCAAATGGTAGTTTGGGGAGATAGTCCTTCCTTGCCTGTCTACTCCCCTAAAAGACCTACTGGCAGTGAACTAAAAAAAATGGAGACGGAGAGCAGGGGAAACCTAATCCTCATGCAACTCGACAGGCACCAACCCAGTACCAAAATGTAGATAATGGGCCCTATAGCCTGCCCTCAAGCCCTCAAGATGAAAGGGGGACCACCCATCGAGGCACCAGAAACAAGGGCAATCTAGAGTTCCTCCTTGCAGATCCACATTTATTAAATGCTTTCAATTCGCACAGTTCAAGAGTGCCATCAGGCATACTAAATCAAAACCTGGACTCTATCCTGCACCTTGGAGTTTGATCCTGGTACACTTAGTGACTGGTTCTTGCATCACATCAAGGGAACACATCCACACGGCCGAAAGTGAGTTAATTAGTGGCTTGCTTGTGGCTCCCTAGTTTATTGATGCTTTCTCTGCGTGTAAACACTATTGTGTGGGTTTTCCAAACCTTGATAAGGAGATAAATAGTTATGTAATACCATAATTACATATCACGATTATTACATTATCATTACATGATACACATTACTATATTATCATCATTCTTACGATGTTGATTATCACTGCTCTTGACATTATGATTGCATTATCAATTCACAATACAAGATCCTCTCAGCATCACTAACATTATCAAATTACTATCATTACCCTCCTTTTCACCACACACTATCCCCACCACCACGTCCTTACAACCGCACTGACGCCCTAACCCCAGCGGAGGAGAACTTCAACCAGGCCAAGATGTACAACGTGGGGTTCGTGAGGGCGCGTGCCGAGGGCCCCTGGGACTGCTACGTGTTTCATGACGTGGACTGCCTGCCCGAGAACGACCAGAACCTCTACTTCTGCACAGACCAGCCGCGGCACCTCGGGATCTCGCGTTCGAAAACTGGCTATCGGTTGGTTTAGATTTGTGACGATTGCTTATTATTGATATTATTATTTTTTTCACACTTTGCGTCTGGCTGTTCTTACTGCCGAGTTCTATGCTGATAGGCGGGCCATAACAAATGACCATAGGCTGCCAGCATTTTCTTTTTCAAATCTCCAGTACTTTTCGAAAAATCCTGGCAGTCTTTTGAATTACTCCTAAGTTGCAGTGAATCCCAAGCTTTTCAACCCACTTCTCAAATCCTTTGGTCGCAGATCTCAGAGCTCCAATAGCAACAGGGACAACTTCTACTTTCTTCAGTTTCCATAGTCTTTTTATTTCTCTTTTCAAATCTTGATACCTTTCTACTTTTTCTGCTCCTTCTCTGCCACGTTCGCATCCGCCGGTACTGTTATGTCAATGATAATTGCCGTATGTTCCTTCTTTTCTACCAAGACTAAATCTGGCCTTCTTGCCTCTATCACATTATCACACAGGATATTTGCATCCCATAACAACTTTACATCATCACTCTCCACAACTCCTTCAGGGGCATGCTCGTACCATTTCTCACTGCATTCCAGTCCTCTCTCCTTGCATATATCCAATGGATCTTTCTCGCTACATTATCATGACGCCTCTTGCACTCCTTTTGAGCTAACTTCCCACATGCACTTACAATGTGTTGGGTACTTTCACCTGCTTGGCCACACAATC